TGTTTTTTCTCATGTCAACCTCATGCCATTCAGCTCAAATCCCACAGTGGTATCATTTATAGATTTATATTCTCCTTATCCCTGTTACTGCCCGTTCATGGGCTGCATTTGGTTGTCTGAGCATGCGTCTTGATTCTGGAACCCAGATTTTGTGCATTTCTGTGCTCTTCACAGTCCCTGGATTCCTACCCAGTGCATGGTAGTGGATCGCTTGGGCACTGATTACTGACCACATGAGCAGGGTTGTGGACTCAAGTCTCCTGATCAAGCCCACCAGCCACTGGGCTGTGTCCCCACAGGAAACGTGCCTTGGCTCTGCTTCATTCTCAACTGCTTGTTTAAGGAGCAGCATCAGTCAGACCTTGGTGGTTGAAGTTCTTTGCGTCCCCTCCACTTTATAATTATGAAAAATAATAAAGGGAAACCTCACTGACATAGTGTCAGGAGGCCAGCAGAAGGAGCTCTTATGTCCACCCACCTTGTCAATTGCAGACGCCACTGGAAGAGTCAGACACCTGGCAAGCCATACTGTTTTGGCTAATTTACTACCCAGCAGGTAGAAAGAAGGTTTCCACTTCACCTGGCAACAGCCCTGCCAATTAGAAAGTGTCACAACTCAGCCAATGAGAGGCCACAGTACATGAAATTTCCAGTTTCCTCCAATGAACTTTTTGCTTAGAATAGCCCCCCTTTCCTCTAGAAGTGTATTCCTCTCCTTTGTTCTCCAGACTCGCCTGTGGTTTTGCTGTAGCTTCCTTGTTCTGAATTTTAATTCTCTGCTATTCCTGAGCAAACCTGTTTTTGCTGGTAAAATAACTGACAATTTTGTTTTTAAGGTTAACATAATACCATTTTTTTCTTCAAAACCAACAGGGTTCCCAGCCACTATAGGATCCTGTTTTCACTGGCTTTTTTTTTTTTTTGCTCATTCAGAATGAGTTTAATTCTGGAATTTCTGATTGCAATCATAGGACAACACACAGTGGATACTATATTCCATAAACTCCAATCCCCCAATGTAAAAGAAAATCAACTGTGGCAGGAGACCAGAATACATTTCCTGGTAGGCTGCTGCTGATGGGGAGGGTCCCTGACCCAGGGTCTAGGGGTCTAGGGGCCTTGTGGGGGCAGAAGCAGAAAAGGAGAGGGCTACATGGCCAGGAAGGAGCTCCGTGGAGGAAGGGAGAGACAGAGGAAGACAGACACATGTACACACATGGAGAATTTTAGAGTTTTTATAATGTAAAGCACTGAATTTCATCTTTAAGAATTCCTATAGAAGAGTTTATATTATTCTTCAATGCTTCTGGGGGTGGTTTATTTTATTTCATATTTTATAATTTTATTTATCTTTGCCTCAACCTTCAGAGGTAGGTTTTAAGTCATTGTAGCTATATTCTGGCTACATTTGCCAGAATACAATTTTATTGATGCATTTGACTAGCTTCCAAAACATTTGAATAGCATTGATTTTCTTCCCAGAGTGAAGTACAATTGAGTGGCCCTGAAAGGAAACTGAGCAGCAACTCTGTCCTTCTCTAGATGTGGTTCAGACTCTACCTGCATCAGGAGGTCGGTCTCTGGGCTCCAGTAGGACTTAGAATCAGACTCTTTGGAGACAGAGTTTGGAAATGTAACAAGCTATCAACTGCAAAAGTACCTTAAAGTTAGAGAACTGCTTCTCTCTGCCACTTCTTCTGTTGCATGATTTAGGACATGGAAGGTGGAAGGAAGCCTGTGATAAGACCGTGTTCAAGGTGGGGAGCCTCTGGCTCACTCCATGCTCTGCTGCTGCTCACCTGCAAGGCCACTCCAGCTTTGTTCAGATAGCCTCATATTTCCACTTTAGTTTCTTCACAACCACTAGAAAACAGAGTCATCTACTGAGACAGGTGAAAGAAGAGCTAATGACCATTTATAAAATCTTGGACCAAATGACAAACTCTAATATTGTTTCCTGGTGTTCCTCTATGGCCTCATGCTTTCCCTCTTTTTCTATCTTGCCTTCACATTTTCGCCTATTGCTTGGTTGGCCCGAACTCCCATTTTGGAAAGTGAACGGTATTCACAGAAGCAGTGATTTGATTTCCCATTGGAACACCAGCCGCGCCAGGAGAGCCAAGCCCCAGGTTCCTCTGGGGCTGAGCCTTAGCGCCCCCGCTGGACCTGCGTACCCTGCTTCACACCTCAGCACCTGGCAGGCCGCTGTGCTTTCTCACTGTCATGAACAGCTGAGAGACATACAATATGTTCCTTTCACAGACACTTTATCTTCTCTTTAATATAACAGATCAGTAAAAGAAATTTGTATTGACTTAAGCTTGACACCGTATCATCCTATATACAGAGATTTAAAAGTCGAAGGAGAGCGATACAATATGAGGACCTGCGCAGTCAGCAAATCCAAACGCGCTCTCATGTGGACCGCTTTCCGGGGTTGGTGGGTTTTCCTTCTTCCCCGCTGCTCTACCCCCGTCATGCCCCATCCTTTCCCCAGGAGTGGGGAGTGAGGGTGCAGCAGGCAACTGGCATTTGGCTCTGAGGCTCCTGTCCCCTGAGGCAGTGGTTCTGCAGGGGTGGGGATGGGGACCCGTTCCCTGCCTCCTGCCTTCCCCCCACGGGGAGCCGTTTGGCAATGTCTGGGACAGTTTTGGTTGTCATAACTGGGATGCGGTTGCTCCTGGCTTCTAGAGGGTGGTGGCCGTGGACGTTGCTCACCATCGTACAGCACACAGCATGCCCCACAGCAACGGGTTACCCATCCCCAGAGCCCATGAGCTGAGGTTAGGACACTGCCCGAGGTGAGGAATAACACCCAGCGGGGAGCGGAGTGGCTAACATTTGCTCTTCTGTGCTGTTTCACAGTGAGTGCTTTATCTCATATGCCCTCATGGTGGCTTGGAAGGTAGGCACCAGGCGCTCATTTTACAGTCAAGGCAACTGAGCCCTCTGCTCAGAATCTCACTGCCTGGGAAAGGCCATGAAAGAAGCTGAGTCGGGTCATAAACCCAAGTCTTCAACCCCAGTTTCAGGCTGTCACAGGGGCTGGCCTCTCGGAAGGGGGTCCCAGAATACCACCTTGCTTTCATTAGGTCTCAGCAGGGCTGCCTCCACAACGGTCTCGGGCCCCCTGTTGGGCCGTGTTCTTGCCCCCACCAACAGGTGCTTGGCTGAAGCCCGCCCTGGTGCAGCCTTGGGTGAGACTTTCCCGCAGTGTCTTCTGATCACCAAAGGCTAGATTGCTGGGATTTCACGGCATTACACACAAGGTCACCTGAGGCTATTTGCACCCGCCTGATGATCATTGGCTGTGTGGGGAGCAGAATTTGTCTTAGACTTGCTTTGTTACGTTTGGTGATTTTGTCTGTGTGGCGAATGTATGCACATGTGCATGTGTCTGTGTGATTCTTGGGGGGCAGGAAATCCTCAAGTACATGTAAATATGGGTGCTGCAAAACCAACCCAGAAGGGTCTAATTAGATGTGCATGGCCAGTTAGGCTGGGGATCGCTCACAACCACCAGCATCTGGTTTCAGAGGGGTCTACTTGGACTCTCAGAGAGTTCTTAGCACAGAGACCAGGTTGGCGTCTCCTGCAAGGGTCTTGCTCTTGAGCACCTTTCATATGGTGAGTGGAAGGTGGAGGCTGTGGGTTTGAATGAAGGGCCAGAGACTGGGAAAGGATGCAAGTCTTGCACTAAAGAGGGACTCAGGGACAAACAGAGACCATCCCCGAGTCTCCTTGTGGCTACACTTTTGGGTTTGCTGAGAAGGAGCAGAAGATGTTGGATGGTTTTCTTTGTTGAATATTAAAAAGAACTCCCTAGTTTTTGATAATCTTTTGTCTTAGTTCAGTCAGTCTGCAGGCCAGCAGAAGCTTTGAGGTGTAAAGTGCATGAATGGAGAGGCCTTTGAACTGTGTGGATCAGTGTAGATCATGCGGGCAAGTGTGAAAAAACTCCCCAGGGATGATTTGAAATCTGCTGCTCCCTACTTTGAGAATTGCACCCTAGATCCTTGGTACTCCAAGTGTGCTCCTTGGGCATTCCTGGCAGCTTACTGGAATTGCAGAATCCCAGGCTACTTCGCAGACCTGCTGAATCAGAGCTTGAATTGTAAGAAGATCCCTGGGTGGTTCACGTACCCAAAAATTTGGAGAAGCGCTGCTCTTGATAATAATGTGAATCTACAGGCTGGAAACTGAACTGTGGATTGCAGCAACTGATTTGGGATGCAGGTACTGGGCGAGTGTGTCCTGGGGGCCTGATCCCAGCGGTGACTGCTCTTGGCTCACACTCATCTTGAATCATCTTGAAGCAGATCTCAGCAGCTCGCCAAGTTGTGAAGTTAAATCCAACTCTGTAACAAAATAATGAGATGTGGAGAGTTTGCTATTGACTTTGTCGGGAGACAGGAAAGGCTTGAAATCACAAACACTAAACAAAACTGCGCAGAAACTGGCTCCGGTCCTGCTCCAGTTCCTTTCTGGGCAACAACCTGCCTGCCTCTCCCGCGCAAATCCTCATCTCTGCAGGGCACGTCTCTAAAGCAACCACTTCACCCGGTTCTCTCAGCAAACCAACGGTCCTCCTGCTCGTCCTTCTGAGAAGGCTAGGTGATCATGAATCACAGAAGCTTCTTTTCCTTGGTCAGCCACATACGTGTTGCATGCGAACATTATGTGTAGTTTGGGTCTGCGGGTCTGAGCACCTGAAGCCCTGTGATCCCAACTCTGTCTGCTTATTTACATATGTCCTTTCTTTCCAGAGCTTTCAAGCCTTTCTGGAAACAGAGCTAATTTCCACAGTCTGCCATCTCTGTTTGCAATCCTAAAATCCAGAAAGCTCTGGGTTTTAAAGACATTTAAAGAAGTCCCATAACTTTTGTAGCAAAGTGGTTTGGTAGCACATCCTTGACTGAGGCTACATACAGTCTTTATTTCCCTCACTTACTGTGAATATTTATGTTTTGCTACACAAATGCTAATGTGTTTGATTACAGGGTCCTGCTGTGGACTTCATGGGGCTGCTATAACGTCTGTGTGCCTTGTTGTCTTTTGGAATCCAGAACATTCTGAATTACAAAGCACTCCAAGAATTTCAGGTAAGGGAGTTAGGATCTGTACAACTTTTGTGTCTCCAGACATGCTGAACACAGAAACTACGCTCTTGTGAGGGTTTTGTTCTGAGACCAACGCTGCCTGATTCAACAGGTTCCTATACAGACTTGCCAAGTGAATGAATGAGCTTGTAAATTCACACGACTGCTCAGATTTACGTGTGCCTAAATAATTTGCTCATCAGTTAAGACAGAGCCCCCTAAATGTCCTTCCATCCATTTAGCTCATGTCCTGGGAATTTTGATGTTACTCTTGTGTTCTCAGATATTTTTGTCTGAAGAGTTTTCCTAAGGGCTTCTCTCACCTAGAGGAGTGACTTCATTCTTTCTGTTGAAATTGCTCTTACATCTTTTCTGACAGAGTTGCAAACATGCTGACATCCTAAATCATCTGATATGGGATCCCTAATAAGCCTGGAGGTGTTCACCAGATGAAGTCCCGCCCTCGCTTGTCCGCGCTGCTTCTGTGTTAGAAACTCAGGTGGGTGTGTGTTTGACAAGACCTGCCGGGAACTGCAGAACGACTTTCCTGATCTGGAATAGTAAATCTCTGATCTTTTACACATCTCCAGGGATTTTTAAGGCAGTCTTTGTAAGATGCAAACTTTACATTTACAGTATATTGGGATTCTCTGACATTTATTGAGAGAAGATGTTTATTCTGTTTATTCTGAATTTTTATGTCATGTTTATTCTGAATAAACGTATGTGTTCTATGACCTCCCAGTTCCTCTACCACCAACCTCCTTCTGCTCCTGAAACCCTGCTCCCCCCAGGGCCCCTGCAGCAGCTGGCCAACTGGTGTTCTCTGGGTTTCATTTGCCAGACCCTCAACCCCCTGCCCCTGGGAGTCTTTGACCAAAGACTCTCTTCTGCTTCACCAAATCTGCCACTTCCTTCAAGATTCTGTTCAAAGTTCTCTCTTCCAAGGAACCTTTCTTAAAAACCAGACTCCATATGCTGGCTTTTCATTATTCTCCTTCCCTGTGCTCTTGTTAAAATGAAGTTTGGCAAACACAACTCTGTGACTACGACGTTTCTGTCCGTACAACTTTTCTTTCAAGTTGCTGCAAGTCCCAGGAGTGAGTTTACTCCATCAAAGCATAGAGATATTTTTTATAGCTGACAGAGTTCATTCGTTCAGAAATCATTTGTTGAACATCTTTTGGAGTGCCAGGACTCTGCCAGGAGCTGGTGGTGTGACAGTGAAGGGACAGCCATCTCTCGGCCTTCCTGGAGTTGATGTCTGGCGGTGGGAGAAGACCACAGCTAATGAACAAGTAGACCCAGAACATCAGATGGAAAACAAAGCAGGGTAGCAGGAAGGGAAGTGCAGGTTGGGGGTGCGGAGGGGGATGGAGTGGTTGTCTCCTGTGGGGAGGGCAGGAAAGGTCTCAGTGTTGAGGTGACATTTGAGCTGAGACCTGGAAGAGGAAAGTGAGTGAGCTCTGCTGACATATCAGGGAAGAACAACTCAGGCAGAGGAGCAGTGAGTGCAGATGTCCTGTGGCAGAAGCCGCCTCCAGGGACTCCTACTATGTGTATATTGTGATGGTGTCCCCCAGGTCTCTGGGGCTCTGTTAATTTTTAGTTCTCTTTTCTTTCTGTTGTGAACTGAGTATTTGTGTCCCCCAAGCTCCCTCAAATTCATATACCGAAGCCCTAATCCCTAATGTGGTGGTAATTGGAGGTGGGGCCTTTGGCAGGTGATAAGGTTGAGATAAACTCCTGGAGGTGAAGTTGTATTCAACTCTACTGTTGAGCCGCCTCCTCCATTTTTCATTGCTGTTCTTGTGCTTTTCTGCTCCAGAATTTATTTATTTTTTTAAAAAACAACTCCTATCTCTTTATTGACATTACCTATTTGGTGTGACATCATTCTCACACTTTACTTTTGCTCTTCAGACAAGGTCTCCTTTAGTTCTCTGACTATTTTAATAGCTGATTTAACATCTTTATTTAGTAAGTTCAACATCTGGGCTTCCTCGGGGGCAGTTTCTGACTGCTCTTTTCCTGTGTCTTTACATGTCTAATAACTTTTTGGTTGAAAGCCAGATGTATTAAATAATGTCTGTGTAACTCGGGAGATCATCTCTCCCAGGCTTTGCTGGTAACAGCTGCTGTGTGTTTGTTTACTAACTTCCCTGAACTAGGCGTGTGAATCCCAGTTCTTTGCCATGTGTGGCCACTGGGAATTCTAAGGAGCTTGCAGACAGGACAGATAATGACAAAGTCTGGGTATGAGGCTTTCTGAGGAGCTCCATGCCCTTGCTGCCCCAGCTGGGTACAGGAAGATGGGTCTAGGGCAGGTTAAAATGCTGCAAACCTCACATTTCTTATGGAGATTCAGTTATTTTTCTTGAACAAATCTCCAATTATTGTAAGCCTTTGGTTAATTTCCAGAGTCCTGAAAAAGTTCCTTTTGACAAATCTCTGTCATTTGCAGCGAGACGTAAACATTTGCTTGAAACTTATTTTTATTTTGCTTTGCTCATCAATGCCACTCACCCACACGCTCTTGGGTCCCCTCTAGTCAGCACCTCTCTGTGCTTGCTCTTCCCTCGCCAGAGTGCTGACCTTTATACCTCAGGCTTTTTCACATGCAGACATTTTATTTTCCATTCCAGCTTAGGCACGAGGACAGGAATCGGCTGTTCTGATTGTACAACCATCATGCTTTCCATGGCTGACTGATCGGAGATCTGACTACACTTTACACCTGGACGTCCAGGTCAGTGTTCCTGACGCACCTTTCTGAAGAACAGATAATATAAGCTAACAGTTTTTGGTGTGTGTGTGTAAATCCCGAAGAAGCCTGAAGGAGGGATAAAGGGATTGAGCAGGGGAGGCAGGAAAGCAGACGAGATGGTTTGTCACTCACCTGCCCTCGCATCCTCTGAGGCCAGCTGGGTGGCTGGCCCTGTGGACTGTCTTCAGGAGAATTTACACACTGGGTCCTCCTGTTCTGTTTTCCATAGTCAAAGTTCCCTTCATACAGCATCAATTTCCCACACTTCCAGGTCCTGCCACCCCCCCAGGACGCCCCAAGGGTTGGACTCGCAACTGGGCACTGTCACCCCTGCTCTGGTCAGCCTGGCTTATTTCTCTTGGGGGCCATGTGCTTTTTGCTCAGTCTTTCCATGGGTCCCTTCTAGTAGGTGGTGGAGCCGCTGTTCTGCTTTAGCAGTGGGCTTGGTGGGTGAAATGGTCCCCAAGGTGCTTCCCACTCAGGGGTGTGGTCACTTCCACTGACATGACCAGCAGCCTCCCCCCGGGGTGGGCGGGGTGCAGGGCAGGGGAGGGGTGAGCTCGGCCAGGCATCACTGGCCGTGTCATCCCCGCGGTCTTGGTCGCCTCCACCTCTGGTCGGCTGCTCAGACCCCACAGGAACTTCTTTGCCGCTTTCCTTGGAGCAGAACAGCTCCATCGTGACAGACGTCAGCTTGCCTGTAATGAGATGTGTTCCCATGGCCTCTGTTTCTCCCTTTGCTCTGTGTTTTAGCTCCTGCTTCTCTGTCCCTTTGCCACCTTCCCTCCTGGCTCAGCTCTGGAGAGAACTAGAGATCATTTATAACAGTGGTCCTCAAATGTCAGCAAGCTTTGGGCTTACCTGGAGGTCTTACTATACACAGAGTGCTGAGCCCCATTCCCAGGCCCCCCAGTTTCTGGTGCAGTCATCACTGGTGGGGCCTGAAAATTTGCATTTCTAAAGTAACTTTGTAAAGTTACTTAAACTCTCTGTGCCTCAGTTTCCCCATATGAAGTGGGATGATAAAGTGGTGAGGGTTCAGTAAGTCACTGTCTATAACGCATTTAATATGTACCTGCTGGTTTTGCCCTTTGGAAAAGAAAAATTGAAGGAATGAAAATCAAGTCCAAGCTGGCAGGTTTCCAGAAGCCTGCCAGTCTTGTCTTCTCTCTCTGGGGACATTACCTTTCCACTTCCCAAGCCACCTCCTTCTTGTTTGGGTCATGGAGCAGCTTGTGTCAGCTCCCAAGGAACGCTGTTACTCAGCCTGGAAAAATGTGGATGATCTTTGCAGAAGGCACATGAGCATTCACCCAGCACCTCGCCTGGGGAGAAAGGAGGGAAGTGTGGGACTTGGTGGCAGATGGACTCCGGGTAGGGGATGCAGTGCCAGTCTCGAACTTCAGTGTCTCTCCGGGCCTGTTCCCTCATGTGTAGGCTGGGGTCAGCCATAATACCTGAACTTAGCGCAAGGGTTAAATCTGATCACACACCAGCAAAACCCCTAGCAGAGTGTCTGGCGCAGAGGAAGCACTCCTATATTTTTGTTGGCAGGTTTTCCATGAAAGCAGAGTGCTGTTGATGTGGCTTTTGTCTGTATTAATTGTCTAGTTGGATTAAACCAGGATCTCCTTAACTCTGTAGGTTTTGTCTGTATTAATTGTCTAGTTGGATTAAACCAGGATCTCCTTAACTCTGTAGGAGGTCATCTGATGTGTGGGCCCAGCTGTCAAAACAGATGATTTTGCTGTTTCCATCATAAAAACTATTGAAGATAAATGATTCCAGGAGTAACCTCATGGTAGGCGGGCCTCCCTGTGGTTCTGTGAGGGGGTCGGCATCCCCAGCAGTCCCCATGACCCCCTCTGATCTCCTCTGTTGTTTGATGCCACTCCTGGTAGTTTTCATCCCATGGTCCTGCATTTGCGTTTGAAAATGTTTCTGATCCCTGGACATGGTTTTGCCCAAAGTCCTGTCCTCTGGCTTTATTACCAAACAGTGAAACCAGATCAACAAACTTGAGAAAATTCAAAATTCTCCCCCTTTAAACTTCTCTTTTAGGGGAAAAAGACAAGTCATAAAAACAAAACCAGCGAACAAAAAGTAAGAGGCCTTGGTGATGTTTTATAAACCACCTGGAGTGTGTGTCTTCACACCCTCCTCCCCCATCTCTAGGAACATCGCAGATGCTCACGGAGAGGGGCCAGTACACTGTGTAGGTGGGTCTAGGTTTCTAAAGTCTGAAGCTTGTATTACTTGGGAGAGCCACTATAATAACAAAAAATATCAAGTTGTGAATATGGAGTTGGGTATGACAGTGAATATTTAAGGGAGAAAAAAATCACCATCAATTATAAATTTGGTAACAAACACATTAAAAAGTCCACAAAGTAACAATATTTTACTAATTAACTGCGTGAATCACCTCTTCTCCCCTCTCTATATTTTTGGCTGCATATTCTTTGATTTCCTCCACATATGACAACAATTTAAAAATACATTTAAAAAGAATAAATTGGTAATTCAGCCTTTCCTCTAGGGTCAATAATTTCTCACTTATTTTATTAAAACGTTGCCAAACAACTTTACACATTGCAGTTAAACTGGCATATTCAAGCTTTATCAATGTCTTGAAGTCCTATTTTGCATTCCTGTTGTGTTTGGGTTTCTTCCTTGATTTTTAAAAACATGTATTAAAGTACTTATAATATTGCTATATTCAAGTTGCAAGGCTTGAACAGATTTAGAGTGGCATCTATCTATAATTAAATTCTTCAAAGAAAAATCCAGTTGATATGTTGTGCTTAAAACACTCCATCAATGAACCTGAAGAGAAAACATGTAACTCATAAAATATCATGGAGGTTAGCAGCTTCAGGTCTTGTGCAGTCATTCTCCTATGAGATTAAGAAAATGCAATGTGCAAGGTAAATATATTGTGATATTTGTGTCACCAAGCCAGGTGAATTGTTAAAGTGGGCAGGAAGCCTATTCCTGGAAATCATTTCTGCACCAGACTAGCTAGCAATAACCTAAATACATGGAAGTGATTGTGAATCACATACATTTATCCCATTAAACCCAAACTAAAGCTAACTTCAATCCCCCCTTGGTCAGAGCCCCAAAGTTGCTGCAGCCACCCTCATTCCACCTGTTGTGAGAGGAAGTGTGATTCAGGGAAAGTTGAAGCAGACAGAGACAGTGGTCTAATTCTTGGATCTATGTGTTGATGTCATTCACAAGTTTTGGAAATAAATTTTGGCTAATTTCTCTCCAAATAGTTGTTTTCACTCATTCTCTCCTTTTCTGAGACTCCAGTTACATGTATGTTAGACTGTTGGATATGATCTCATGTTTCCCTCACCCTCTGCTTTTTTCATATTTTTTCCTCTTTCTGTTTCAATGTAGAGAATTTCTACAGACATATTTTTAAGTTCACGAGTCCATTCCTTTGTTCACTCTGCTGTTAAGCTCACTCATTGATATCTTTACTTTGGTACTGTAATTTTTAGTTCTATAATTTTCATTTGTTTTTTTTTGATGGGGGGTTTCACTTCTCTGCTGAAATTCTTCATATTTTCTCCCTTCCCTCCATCCCATATTTTCCCTTAAAAATGTCAACACTTGTGCATTAATAAATTTAGTCTTTATTTACTCATGCTAATTCTGGGTCACCTGTGGACCTGAGTCTATAGACAAGACCGCTCCTAATTATGGGACATATTTTCTGACTTATTCACATGACTTATAGTTTTTTTTTTAATTAAATGCTGCAATTTGTATATAACAGAGCAGTGGAAGCTCAAATAAATAATAACTTTTCCAGGAAGTGGAATTTGCCCATTTGTGAGTCAGGTATCTTGGACTAGAATCTGACCTCTTCAATCTAATCCTTAGTTGAGCTGAACTAGGACTGGAATTGCTACTGTAGTTAGTTCATCTCTGGCTTCAAATGTCTCTAGAAGGGGATCACTGTCCGCCCAACAGGCTGGGAGATGTAAGTGCCACGACACCACAAAACTTCTCTGATTTCCTGTGTCATCTCCTGACTTCCTGATCACCATTTATTCAGTAAATTTCTGTGGGACATTATTGGAAAACAGGGATGTCCAAACCTGCGTTTGGGATCTGGAGGCTCAGGTCCACACAACAGCTGTGGCGCTCAGTTTCTCCTTATCCCCAACAATTTTCTCCATCAGTAGCAGGCTTGCTTTTCTGCTGATCAGGCTCCCACACTTAACACCTTGCCCCAGGGATGGAAGGGGCCACTGGTCTGTGTTCACCTACGATGGGTTTCTCTCTCTTTGAATTTTAGTTTATTTGGACTTTGAATCTACAGTTCTTCAATGGGTTTAAAGTAAAATACAATCTAGAAGTTTATCCAGCCCTTTCTCATTGCTGTGCTGTAGTGGTGGTCTTTTGTGATCTTTTTTATCCTAACCAGAAGTGGATCCTCTTCATTTCTTTTTGATTTTTTAAAATTCACTTTTATATTTGATTCATTTTAAGCCATTATTTGTTTTCGTTATTGGTTTTGATGCCCCTTCTAGTTTAGTTTCTATTTTTGAAAAATTTCCCTTGTACTTCTAGTTCTGTTCTGAGTTCTGTCATCTGTCTTTCCAAATCTTGTATTTCTGAATGTTCCTAATTATGATTTAAGTTACAGTTTAATAACATCTATCATTTTCTTAATTCCCGTCACCTCACTTAAAACATTAGATTACATTTTCATCTGCATTGTAAAGCGCCTCATTCTGTTATGCTTTTGTTGTCTGTAGGGACAGTCTTGTGTTCTCTTCTCTTTTAAAATAACTTCATGTTAGAATTGCTTATGATCCTTTTCTATTGATCTTTCTTTTTTTTTATTTTGAAGTGAAATGAGTATTTCTGATTCATAGGAATGAGGGCTAGGACAAGATAGGTTTTCTAGCTTAATGGCTCTAACACCTCCTCTTCTGCTGTTTTTGCAAAGTGATAAAAAATATTCTCCTGTATTTCCTGAGATCTGACGTTCTATCTCTTCCCCCACTTTTTTTTCTGCATTATCTCTTTTCTCAGCACTATTTGTTCCTGTTCTTTTCACTGTGGAGTTTGTCTTGAAAGAAAGCCTCAGCATGCTATTTCTGAGGGCCTATCGACTGCTCCGGCGTGGCCAGAATACTGTATCACCGTCCCCTTGTGCTCACGCATGAATTGGATCCTACCATTCCCAGATTGAACGTCTATGCTTACCGTGAGTACACATCATCCGTGTAGTGGTTTTCCTGTTCTCTGGACTGTCGGAATCCCTTTCTTTGCCCCTACACAGGTCCTCCACCATGCAGGTTGGGCAGCTGTTCATGACTCACCTCACACGCTCATTTCATGAGACTCATTGGGATATCTTGTCTTTTATTTTGTTGTAAAGTTCAAGGTCTTTGAATTTGATACACTACTTGCTTGGTCTGTTGTCATGGGAGTGATCTGGAGAAATTAAAATATTATGTCCCATAATCTCCCCAGAATCCTTATCATAATTATTTTCATAATTTATAATCAAAGGATTATAAAATAACAACAAAAGAGTATTGATTCCCCTCTGATGCCAGTCAATTAAGATATTTCTAGAGAGGATGTTTCTTTCCCACTTTGGTGGCTAGACAAGACCTTTTGACCATCTATGACTATTTGCATAGATAGCCCAAATTTCTCATCTGGTCCTTTCTCATCTGGTATTTTTCTCTGTTAGGGGCTGAATTGTTTCCCCAAAATTCCTATGTTGAAGTCCTAACTCACAGTACCTCAGAGTGTGACTGTATTTGAAGATAGGGTCTTTAAAGAGGTCACTAAGGTGAGATGAGGTCATTCCGGTGGGTCCTGATCCCATGTGACTGTTTACTTATTGGAAGAGAAATGAGGACACAGACATGGGCAGGAGGCAGACCCTGTGAAGACAGGAAGACAGCTGCCTGCAAGCCGAGGAGAGAGACCTCAGAAGACACCAACCCTGCTGACACCTTGACCTCCGACTTCCAGAAGAGTGAGAAAATAGATTTCTGTTGTTAACTCCACCACGTCTGGGGTACATAGTTATGGCAACCTTAGCAAACTAATTTTCTCTCTCCTTCCTCTTTCTCTCGCACACAAACACAAATGCACATACTGCTTGTGAGAATTTATTCCCAATTCACCAAACCCTGGGCTGAAAGGCTATAACAAGGCTACATTTTCACTTTTGATATCTAAGAATAGTTCCCTGGACATTTCACTTGTTTAAAAGCTCATTTTGTGGAAAGAATAAATTGCAATGATTTTTGTTTCATTTTGGGATCTTGGCTCAGGCAGAATCCGGAGGCATTTGACTTTTTACCTGTTTTCTTGCTATCTGTTCCTGTTATAGCTGTACCTGAAAGTGTTTACATTACACTAAATGTACTCTTTGCATTCTTCCCGTCCTCCTTCTCCTTCCCTCTCTCTCTGTTTCTGAGTTTCACTCCAAGGGCTTGCTGGAAAGGAGGCCTGGTAGAAAGAAAGTACGTTTCATTGTCAGAGAGCGGTGGGTTCAAATTTTCTGTCTGCTGTTCACTTGTGGGATGTCGGGTGGAGGTCCCAGCAGCTGAGAGCCTTTGCGTACTCCTTTGTCACTATGAAATAAGGTCCCTTCTCCAAGGACAGGTGTGAGGGTTTACATGAGATAAAGCTGTAATTTGCTTCCTGGCTCAAAACAGACAGCAAATCAATGCTTTTTTCCATTATTTTTCTCTTCTTGCAACCATAGTTAGCCAGTAAAAAAAAAAAAAAGAAGAAAACAATTACAGACCAAAGAAAATCCCAGGTATTTGAATATGTTTAAATTTGTGTAAATTAGAAACATTCCTCACGGCTCTCCTAAATAAAAACCAGCAGCAGGAACCAAAAGGGGTGCTGCTTCCAAGCTCGGGAAGCACGCCACTAAGCTATTGCACTCACAGCTCTCTGAGTAAGTCCTTGCTGCAGAGACAGAGGCCTGTTCAAGAATTCTATATGCATGGTATTTATTCAGCAACTGGCAAGCTGGTGTCCCACCTAGTGGTCAGTGGGAGGTAGCCCATGTCAAAAAGAGATGAGAAGGTATTTCCTATTAGCTCTTGCTGGGCAGAAGCCTGAGAACTGTTAGCAGTTCATCCTTTTCTTGCCATTTACAGAGACCCAGGCAGTGGAAAGCACCGCCTGTGAGATGCGGCAGAGAGGCAGTGTGTGCACATGTGCCCTGGCAGTGGTGGGGGCCGATAGGGGCAGCTCTGAGAGACGGTCAGTAGCGTGAGGCAAGCCTCTGAATGGTTTTCTTGAAATATGAAAATACTTCAAATATACAGAAAAGTTCATTATGCGCTCATTTACCACCCAGCTTTGGTATTTTACCTAATGTATTGAGGCTAACATTTTGTCACACTGCATCCTATTTCTTTAAGAAATGAAAGAACGCAAACTCTGGCAAAGCTCCCAGTATACCCTTCCGTGATTCCTTGGTCTTTCTTGCCCCTGACCCAGAGGTGACCACCATTTCAAATTGGATGCTTGCCTTTAGGGTATTAAAAACTCTGTTAACATCCCTTATGTGAATCCATGTTTTTGCATGTTTTCAAGTTTTATCTTATTGATGTCATACTGTATGTACTTTTTCTATTATAAAAAAATGTGGTAAGTCTTGTGCCATTTTCCCTATACAAGTTCAGCAAAAATTTTTTGATTATTTTCCTAGAAGTGCAACAGCTGGATCGAAGAGCAAGTATTCTCTTTCAGTGAGATTGTACCAAATTGCCCTTCAGTTCGGTAATTGCACCAAACTACCCTTCACCAATTTACCCAGTGGTGGAAGCAGTCCCATTGCTCTATACCTGCACTGATGCTGACATTGTTAGACCACTAAACATTTTCCAATATGATGATTATGAACTATTTCAGTGCTTTAATTTCTATTTCCCTGATTGGTATTCATATTGGGTGTCTTTTTAATACATTTTTTACCTTGTATTTTCCTCTTGTGAATGGTCTATTCCCATCTTTTGCCTTTTATTTTCCTATTTTTTTTCTTACTGATTCTCAGGAATTCTTTCTACGTCCCAGAAATGATTCCTTTTTCCCAGCTGTATGTTTGCAAGCCTTTTCCTCCAGTCTGTGACTTGTTGTTTTTCTGTAAAAATTTTGAAGTTGAATTAGATAATACCCACAAAAGGGGCACAGATCATAAATGTAGAGCTCAATTAGTTTTTACAAAGTGACAACACCCATGTAACCACCCAGATGAAAAATTAGAATATAACTAGCCCCCACTTCATGACCATTCCAAGATCTGCCACACTCCAAAGGTGTGTGAGTGTAGACCATGCCGGCTTCTGAGTAATTTTGTCCTGTTCTGAACTTTATACAAATGAAATCTTACAGTACACACTCTTTGGTTTCTGGTTTCTTTCACTCAGTGTTATATTTGTGAGATTCATTTATAATAGTTGAGTGTAGCAGTAATTGTTTATTTTCCACTACTGTTTGGTATTTCATTGTATATGCATGTTCTATATTAATGAATCCATTTGATTGTTAAAAATATCTAGGCAATTTCCATTTTTGGACAATTATGAATAATGCTGCTGTGAACATTCTGGTACATGTCTTTCGGTACACAAGGAGTGGAAATACTAGGTCCTAGGGCATGCACATGCTCAGCTTAGTAAATGCTTCCGGTAAGGATGCTGTGGGTACCACCTAGATCTCCCCTTCATTACCGAGCGCGCATTCCCCAGCTGTCAGGAGGTTGGTTGCAAATGGGTCTTCCTGAGACCCCCTCCAGGCATTGCACTCAGCTGAAGGGAGCTGCCTGGCTGATCCACATACCCTCAGCCTGGTGGCAGCCCAGGTACAGATTCGGAGCGAGAAAAGCCCAGCCCGCATGTTAATTCCAGGCACCTCTGAAGGGCACCCCAGCTTCAGAGCTCCCTGAGGGATCTCCCGAAGTCTTCATTACAATGTTGAGTAGGAACAATGAGTGTGAACACCTTTACCTTGTTCCCAATATAAGGGGGAAGGAACCTTGCATTCCTATGTACTCCATTGGTCATGATGTATTATTTTTATATTTTCCAGGATTCTTTTTGGTGTTATTTTGTTAAAGATTTTTGGATCTAACTTTATGATGTATCTTGGGTTATAGTTCCTTTTCTCATCTTATCCTTGATGAGATCATACAACGAGTAGGGAAGTGTTTCCTCCTCCTACAGTTCTCAAAGAGACTGGTATTTTATTTCTATTTCATATGATGTACTAGTGAATACATCTGGACCTAATGATTTCTTTGTGAGGAATTTTTTAAGAATTGAGGTATAATTGACAAATAATGTGAGGACTTTTTAAACTACAAATTCAACATCATATTATCACTACATATCTCTTTATCGATATCTATATACCATACATATTTTCTTTTTTTCTATTTCTTCTTGTGCCAGTATTTTTGAAGTATGCAATTATAACTGAAGTTGTGTTTATTTCTTCCTTCAGTTCTCTTACATTCACTTCATGTGTTTTTAAACTTTTTAATTGGGCATGGACACATTTAATACTATTATGGCTTCTAAAGTAATTGGTCTTTTTATCATTATAAGATTTTTCTCTACATCTCAGGTAATATCTCTGGTCCTGACATATACTATGTCTAATAGTAATATCACAATTCCAGCTATTTCATGATTAGTATTTGCCTGACATACTTTTTCCCCATCTTTGTACATTTCATCTATTTGTGACTCTACTGTTAAAACATATTTCTTATGAATAGTATATATAGTTTGGTGTTGCTTATTTGATCAATCTGATAATCTCTGCCTTTAACTGGAATTCTTAGACCACTTATATTTAATATAATTATTGATATGAATGGGTTTAAGTCTGCCCTCTTGCTATTCATTTTCTACTTATTTTTCCCATGTGCTTTTTTTTTCTTTTTTCCTTCTCTTCCTGCTCTCTTCACATCTGAGTTTTTTTTAGGATTTTTAAATCTCTTCTATTTGGCTTTCAGTCAAGCTATCTAAGATTTTTGCTGCTTACTCCCTACGTTGCTATCCTCTTTCCTTGTTTATTTTTCTCTTTAGAACTTAATGCTGTCTAAAAATATTATATGCTTTACCTATTTAGTTTGTTTATTGCTTGTCTCCTTGAATAGAGTGCAACTCTCAAAGGGTCAATGATGGAGTAAGCGATTTACAAGTTCATTAATTTATT